CTAATCAGTGTAGTTGCTGCTCAGTATCCTTATGGTGGTCCAGCGTGATTGCCACTGTTGTCCAACTTGCCGCAATACTTGTTGCCTTCATCCACACCATCAGAGCCTGCAACAGCAGCAAATGTTGCAAAAAAAAATCGGAGGCAAAATCTCAATTTATGGCTGGCGTAACTGGTAGTATATCTGCTTGACCGGTATGAACAAATATATAAAGGGGGAGATTTGTGCATGTGTGTGTGTGTGTGTGTCTGCCCAGTAAACAATTTTTGCCGAATTCGGTCCGATTTCTGTCAGAATCTCTGAAAAAATGTCCGATTCTGATTCCGAATTCCTTCCGATTTCGGTACGAAAGTTGTATGGACGTGGTCACCGAATTCGGAAAGATTTTCTGAAAAAAATCTGAAAAAATATTAGATTTTCTGGACGAATTCGGTCCGAATTCGGTGAAAATTCTTGAAAAAATAGGAGAAAAATTTAGATTTTCGGAAAAGATTCGGAGGACAACTCCGAATTTCTGAAAGAAATCGGGCAGAATTCGTCTGGAAATTCGGCGGAATATTCAGATTTTCTGAAAGAAATCGGTCAGAATTCGAAAGAAAATTCGGAATAAAATTAAAAAAAACGCTCAGAATTCGGGAGAAAGTTCCGATTTTCTGAAAGATATCGTTCAGAATTCGGAAGAAATATCGAAAAAATCGTCATACCACTTAAAAATGAAAAAAAAAAACACATATTTATTTAAAAAACAAACAATTTATTTCGGGTTTCGTATAAATGTAGTTTAAATATTACATCTATAATACATTTACATTATAAATATTATTTTTATTAGGAACATAACATACAGTAGCACGTTCCTTTTTCAACTGCTAAACAAGAACTAAAAATAAAAAGCAGTGCACACAGAAAACCGGTATGTAGTTGTTTTTGCATTTTTTTTCCATCATATTTTTTTGGGAACGAAAGAGAAAGAGGCTGATTCACAACAACAACAAAACGCACATTTTTACAACGGAAAATCTAACAGTTCACAATAACAATAACAAATAGCATTTTTGCTTTGCGCTTTGTTGTTGTTGAGATCTTGAAATGAATGATCACAACAACAACTACTATGGGAGAGAATGTGTCAAACCACCACCATCCGTTTACATGTGGGAGAGAATATGCCAGAGCAATAGACAATCTACTCTCTCCGTTTGTACATTTTTCGAGTTTTTTTCGCTTAAAAACACAGGAAAATGTGCAGAAATTCTAAAAAAAAAACGTTTAGAAAATCGGACCAATTTCTATCAGAAATTTCTGAAAAAAACGTCAGAAATTTCTGAAAAAAATCTAAAATCAGAGCAGTCGGAAAAAATTGTTTACTGGGTGCTTGTTCATCAGGTTGTATGCAACACCAAACAAATGAGAGCGAAAGCTGTCTGACCAACAAGTATGCAAATATTTGTTGTTGTTACAGTGTCAGGGCATTAAGGTGAATTCAGTGGAATGGGATTTTTGGAATAATTATTTCTCGAAGCTGCAAAATAAAATATAAAGAGCCCCCAATATCTTGGTGAGCATTCACTGGTACCACTGTCCAAAAAAAGAGAGCATTTAAGAGAAAACCACAATTCGATTTTTCTTTACATTAAACTATTAATTTCAATAGTTGTTTCAACATGAATGTTCTCTAAGATTATTTCTAATGCATATTCATACAAAAAGTTATAAAGTTTTAACACTCCTTTTATTAATGATTTAAAATAACTAAGAGAAATTAGACTGGAGAGAGAGAGAGCACTTGTTCTTGAATAGCTCTGATAGATATAAAAGAGTAAAAAGGGAATGAAATAACTGACTGACTGAAAATCAACACCCAGATGAAACGGCTGAAGCTAGAGTCTTGAAATTTTTCACGAGGGTCAGTCTTGATGCGTAGGCGTTAGATAAGGCTGGGTTTTTCGAAATTGGTACCAAAAGGTTAAAAATATAAAATTATACTAAAATTGAATTTTTTGCAATGCAAAAACGGAATGAGCTGGAATTCAGAATTAAGAATGAAAGTCACTGATGCAATGCAGGAGAGATGTATGAAAGGGTTTTTTGAAATTCGAACTTAAGGGTTATGAAAAGTTCCAAAATGGTACTAAACTTCTAAAAATGGTAGCATTTGGTATTATGTGAAGGGATATAGGGTTAGATGAAAAAACTGCAACCAACTTCAGACTGCGGTCATTTCTAAGCCACTCGTCCGACAGCTGTTAAAATTATTCCAGCGACAGCTCATTATATTGTTTACAAGCGTAGAAAAGCATTTTGGTGAGAATTTTCCAGAAAAAAGTTAGTCGTGATGGAATTCAAGTGTGATAGTGTGATTTTTTTGTATTTGGCTAGATACCCACATGTGGCTATCGTTAGAACACTCCAGCATTTAAATGTGAATAAATCTTTTGTGTCTCGTACCATCGCTCGTTACGGTGGTGATACTGGCAGCGTAGCCCAATGTCAAGGAAGTGGACGGACGGAAGAAAACACCAACATCAGCAGAAATGGTTCGAAATGTAAAGAAGCGACTTGATCGAAACCCGCGTCGCATTGGCCGAAAAATGGTTCGTGAGCTGAACATATCGCAATATTTCATTCGGCAAATATTGAAAAATGAGCTCGAGGTAAAGCCATTGAAATTCCAAAATGAGAGAACTTACACCGCAACAGAATAAAAATAAACTAAAAAGAGCTAAAGAGTTGCTTCGCTTGGTCGAAAGTGGTGAACTGCCTGGCCGAATTTGAAACATTCGTTGTCCAGCAGTTTGTAAACAAACAAAATGATTGTGCTTACTTGCCAAAAAGGTCAGCTGAAAATGTGCATCTTCGGTTGGCCACCAGAACTCAAGTGCCGGTCATGGTGATCGTGTGGGCCGCCATAACAGCTGATGGACGCTCTCCGCTCGTATTAACAAACCGTGGCATCAGAATAAATGCCGAATTTTATAGTGAAAATATTCTGGATGGTGTATAAAAGACTTGGGCACACAAAACTTTCATGGTTTCATTGGCCGTTTGAAGGCCATAATTCGTGCCAAAGGTGACCAATTCTAAACATATTCTAAAATGTGATGCCATTTTCGACATTTTTTGCTTTCATTCAATAAAATTAAAAAAAAAAAGTAAAAATTATGGCGTTTCACTTTTTTGCAGTTTTTTATCTCACCCGCATGGTTTATTCTGGAACTATAAGTGAAATTTAGTGTAGAATATTTCCTGTTTTGACATCTTCTGTCCAAAATAAAATCAAATCAAAAAATGGCCGAAGAAAAATTTATTAAAAAAATTAGAGATATTTTCGATTTTTTATATTTTATTATTTTTTTGGCAAAATTGAAGTAAATATTACTCTAGATTTTTTTTGAAATAAGGTGTAGAATATTTCCTTTTTTGGTACATTCTGTCTAGTACAAAGTTTTGTATTACTTTCAAGCACAAAATCGAAAAAAGATAAAAAAATTATTATAAAAAATTGGAAAATTTTCGCTTTTTTCGTTTATTTTATTTTATTTATTTATTTATTTTATTATTTTTTTTTTTTGTTTGAAAAATTAATATAAATATTTTATTAAATTTAAGTAATTTTCTCTCTTTATTTTTTAAATATTTGATTTAATATTTTTTAAGTCTAGGTCTCTTAAAATTCTCTCAATATCAATGAGTTTTGAAAAAAAGTCACCGTTAAAACATCACCGATATTTAAATAGCCAGGGAGTATTTTGGCCAAAGGAAAATTAAATTTTGTATCCTCAACCGTTTTAATTGCTTTGCCTGTGACTGTATTGCCTTAACATCTTTCCCCACACACACACACAGATAAAATGCAAAAGACTTGTTTCTCATCCCGTTATTGATATCTGTTGTGATTCTTTGAAGCACGTTTTTTACACTTGCATACATTGACAAATTATGCCAGCTCAGATGCAGACGCACAACCATGCAAACCTGTGAGACGATGGTAAATTTCTGCTGCCTCCGACGATGGCGATGCTGATGATGATGGAAGAAATTGCAAAATATTGAAAGTGCAAGTAAAAGTCGGCGAATCAGTTTATCTCCAGAAAAAAAATGAAATTATGATGATGAAATATCTATTGTGGTGGGCTGAAGTTGATTGTGAATCAATCAAAACCTATTTGGATAGATTCCACTTTTGGCCTCCCACACTCTCACACACAGGGTGTAACAAAACAAAAGACTTAAGCCACAAACTTTCAACTGCAGCAACTCTTGAGGTCTATTTTTGGAGGGACATTTTCGTTGTTACTGTTGCTGGTGCCATAACCAATTACTGTTTTCCATGACCCAAATATGTCTCGGTAATCTATAAACATATTTTCTTTTATTATTGTACCAAATCTCCAAAAAACAACAACAACAGCAACAAAGCATAATTGCATTTTATGTCGTTTTACTTTCATAACTGAGTTTTTCTTTCTTTTCTCTTCCTCTTCTTTAATGTGTCAACATTCACCTGAACCAATCAGCAGGTTAAGGTGATTTTTGCTTTTAGCTTTTATTCTGTGTTTTTTTTTTTTTGCTCTTTTCTTCTTAACTTTCATCACCTGTCAGTCACTCAGCCAGCCAGCCACTGAGGCAGATAGTGCAGCCTGCACTCAGTTCGGGTTATTGTTATTTGTCAGCCGTGCATCAAAACCAAAATGAAATGAAATTAAACGACATGGCCTTTTTTTTGGTTTAGATTTTCTGTGGCAGCTGTTGCAGCCATGATTTGGGCCTACACAAAGGCAGACATATGCATGCCTTCATTTTTTTGAAGGGCGAAATGACTTTAACCCAATTTTAAGGTTGACGCGAAATTCAATGTGAAACACTTTGATAGCAATGAAAAGCTCAAAAATATTTCATATCCGATAAGGAGTTTAAAAATTTATTAAAATCTATTTTTTCTCTTTTAAACACAACAAAAAAATTTGAAAAAAAAAATTTGAAATGTTTTTTTATTAATTTTCCATGAATTTAACAAAAAGAACTTAGTCCAGATAACCCTCATTCAATAGCATCGGCAACAATTGACGCATTTCCTCGACAAATTCTGGTCTCTTGTAGGTGGTTGCAAGCATGTCAGGGTTTTCAATCATTTCAGCGGTATTCGTATCCTTCAACTCCTCAACAGGTTTATCCCAAAAGCCAGCAACCATGGGATATATAACCACGAGGACATAGATAGCTGCAAAAAATTGAAACATATTCTCGATAAAAACATCATCTTTTCATTAAAAAACAAGTAAAAAAGCTATAAGTTCGGCCGGGTCGAACATTGAATACCCTTCACCATTTATAACGAATTTGGCAATTTTCAACAAAATAAAATTCGTTAAAAATTCTGTTAAAATCTTAAAAATACCGAATGTAGCCATTATATTAAGTTCTATAACACGAAGTAGACCTGCATAGACAACTTTTGTAAAAAAGCCATTACAATATTCAAATGCTAAACTTGAAAAAAAAATCGGTGAATAATGACGCTAAATTCATTAAAATACCGAATATCGGAAGGTACCGTCATATGAGGGTTATACGAAGGCGTGGATATACGCGGAAACGAATTTCAAATACCAAATTTGAAACATTTGCGGTGAATAATGTCGCTTAAATCACCAAAATACCGAAAATAGGGAGGTACACTTATATGGGGGCTATACGGTGACGTGGACGTGGACAGACAATTTTCTGTCTCAGACTGTAGTATCCATTACGAACTTCAAATACCAAATTTGAAATAATTCCGTTGAATAATGTCGCTTAAATCACCAAAATACCGAAAATAGGGAGGTACAATTATTTATGGGGACTATACGAAGGCGTGGACCTACGTCGGCAATTTTCTGTCATAGGCTGTAGCATCTATTATGAACTTCAAATACCAAATCTGAAACAATTCCGGCGAATAATGTCGTTTAAATCACCAAAATACCGCAAAATAAGGAGGTACAATTATATGGGGGCTATACGAACATGTTGACCTGCAAAGACAATTTTCTGTCTCAGGCTGTAGTATTCATTACGAACTTCAAATACCAAATTCGAAACAATTCTGACGTATAATGTCGCTTAAATCACCAAAATACCGAAACGATCGGAAATTTCCATCCCCGGGGATGGAGTTTTTTCCATAGGAAAATAATTTCCATCCCCGGGGATGGAGTTTTTTCCATAGGAAAATAATTTCCATCCCCGGAGATGGAGTTTTTTCCATAGGAAAATAATTTCCATCCCCGGGGATGGAGTTTTTTCCTAAGGAAAATAATTTCCATCCCCTGGGATGGAGTTTTTTCCATAGGAAAATAATTGCCATCCCCGGGGATGGAGTTTTTTCCATAGGAAAATAATTTCCATCCCTGGGGATGGGGTTTTTTCCATAGGAAAAATTTCCATCCCTGGGGATGGGGTTTTTTCCATAGGAAAAAATTCCATCCCTGGGAATGGGGTTTTGTCCATAGGAAAAAATTCCATCCCCGGGGATGGAGTTTTTTCCATAGGAAAATAATTTCCATCCCCGGGGATGGAGTTTTTTCCATAGGAAAATAATTTCCATCCCCGGGGATGGAGTTTTTTCCATAGGAAAATAATTTCCATCCCCGGGAATGGAGATTTTTCCATAGGAAAATAATTTCCATCCCCGGGGATGGAGTTTTTTCCATAGGAAAAATTTGTCATCCCCGAGGATGGAGTTTTTTCCATAGGAAAAATTTCCATTCCCGAGGATGGAGTTTTTTCCATAGGAAAAATTTCCATCCCCGAGGATGGAGTTTTTTCCATAGGAAAATAATTTCCATCCCCGGGGATGGAGTTTTTTCCATAGGAAAATAATTTCCATCCCCGGGGATGGAGTTTTTTCCATAGGAAAATAATTTCCATCCCCGGGGATGGAGTTTTTTCCATAGGAAAATAATTTCCATCCCGGGAATGGAGTTTTTTCCATAGGAAAATAATTTCCATCCCCGGGGATGGAGTTTTTTCCATAGGAAAAATTTCCATTCTCGGGGATGGAGTTTTTTCCATAGGAAAATAATTTCCATCCCCGGGGATGGAGTTTTTTCCATAGGAAAATAATTTCCATCCCCGGGGATGGAGTTTTTTCCATAGGAAAATAATTTCCATCCCCGGGGATGAAGTTTTTTCCATAGGAAAATAATTTCCATCCCCGGGGATGGAGTTTTTTCCATAGGAAAATAATTTCCATCCCCGGGGATGAAGTTTTTTCCATAGGAAAATAATTTCCATCCCCGGGGATGGAGTTTTTTCCATAGGAAAATAATTTCCATCCCCGGGGATGGAGTTTTTTCAATAGGAAAATAATTTCCATCCCCGGGGATGGAGTTTTTTTCCATAGGAAAAATGTTTCATCCCCGGGGATGGGGGTTTTTCCATAGGAAAAATTTCCATCCCCGGTGATAGAATTTTTTTTTCATAGTAAAAATTTCCATTCTCAGGGATGGAGTTTTTTTCATAGAAATTTTTTTCTTTAGAAAATTTTTTATTTCGTTACTCACCAAAATGTCGATATTTCAGCGCCGACATTTGAAATTCCGAATACTTGGACACATGCCCCTTAAAATTAATTTTCTTCAATATCCTGGAAAACTCCATGAAATAATGTCGCATAATTCATTACGTTTCATACGCAGTTCCGGACTTAACATCAGAAATTATGAATACAGCAAATCAATGTTGGAGGGACCAAAACAGCTGGCCTGATAATCCAACAAAATTACATCCTCCATTTCCCCCGATTGCTTGTTGAATTTAAACATTAGATTTTTCATATGAAAATCTCCATGATTTAAAACAAATATCCCCTGTTCACCATTGATGAAGGCATTAAATAGATCCTTGCACAGCGGCAGGACATCGTGTTGAAGTGTTTCGAATTTTTCCCGATAGACTTCAAATTCCGGATAGGATGCCATTAAATCAATAAAATTGTTAAAACCATTTGTCACAAGGTCCTTTAACAGAGGAATGCTTATACTCATGAAGCCATCTTGGAATTTCGTGACAACCTGGTGATTTTCAGTGTGGCCCAGCATAAAGGACACGGCATGTATCTTGGCCAACTTTGAATAAACCGCCTTGACTTCAGCGGCATTTAGGAGGCGGCCACGTATCGTATCATAGCCCAGTTCGCAAAGGTCCTCGAGTATGATGATTTTGTGCGGGGACAAGGAGTGGTAAATTATTCTAAGGACATCCAAATTAGTTCCTTGAATTTTAGTAGAAAACCAGTAAGGAAAGCTCAAAAGTCGGGCGGGGCCGACTATATGATACCCTACACCACTATGCATATTTAGTAGAGCTCTCGTAAAAAGGTTTATACAGGGCATTTCAGAGCTCTATGAGATATTTGGTACAAAATCAAAATCTATCTAATTCTATCTAATTCTATAGCTATCTCTGAACCGGGTTTCTCCAAATTTTACGTATTAGCTTCTAGACTGAATTCGCTCTTATGTACGAAAATTCAGGTGATTTGGGCTGATATTGACCATTTAGTGCACATTTAACCCGAAATCGGATGAAGAAATATATGGGAGCTATATCCAAATCTGAACCGATTTCGATAAAATTTAAAACAGCTGTTCCTGTGCTCCATCTAATACCTGGTACCAAATATCACGGTTGTGGAGTGAATATTACGAATGTATGGGACTAAAACACTAAATCGGATGAAACATATATATGGTTGCTATATCTATATCTGAACCGATTTTCACCAAATTTGATATACTTGCTTCTAGGCTGAATTTGGTCCGATGTAATAAAATTCAGTCCATTTGGACTTATATCGGCCATTTGGTGCACAATTAACCCGAAATCGGATGAAGATATATATGGGAGCTATATCCTAATCTGAAATATCATTCTTGTGGAGTGCATATTACGAATGTGAGAGGCTTAAACACCAAATCGGATAAAACATATATATGGGAGCTATAGCTGTTTCTGAACCGATTTTCTCTAAATTTGTTGTATTTGCTTTAAGGCTAATCTCGGTCATATGTGTCAAAATTCGGGCCATTTGGGCTGATATTGGCCATTTGGTGGTCAATTAACCCGAAATCGGATGAAGATATATATGGGAGCTATATCCAAATCTGAACCGATTTCGATAAAATTTAAAACAGCTATTTCTGTGCTCCATCTAATACCTGGTACCAAATATCACGGTTGTGGAGTGCATAGTAGGAATGTTAGGGACTTAAAGATAAAATCGGATGAAAGATATATATGGGAGCTATAGCTATATCTGAACCGATTTTCTCCAAATTTGATATACTTGCTTCTAGGCCGAACTCGGTTGGGTGTGCCAAAATTCAGGTAATTTGGACTGATAGTGGACATTTGGTGCACATTTAACCCGAAATCGGAAGAAGATATATATGGGAGCTATATCTAAATTTGATCCGATTCTCACCAATTTCAATAGGGTTCGTCCTTGGGCCAAAAAAAGATTGTTTGGAAAATTTCATCTCAATCGGATAATAAATGCGACCTGCATTTTGTTCACAAGAATACATGGACAGACGGACGGACGGACAGACGGACGGACATGCATGAATCGACTCAGAAAGTGATTCTATGAAGGTTCTCAAAAGTAACTATGGGTCTATCTCGTTTCCTTCTCCATGTTACAAACAAATGCACAAAGACATAATACCCTTACCACTATGTGGTGTAGGGTATAAAAATTACTTACCGCGCTGCCAATTCCCCTGTTTCCCCACTTTCTTTTAAAATTTGCCCAATTTTTGGCAAAGCTTCAGTGTACATGCCAATTTCAGTTTCGAAAACTTTCGATTCCTTTAAAAGTTCTTGCTTCATACCCTCAATACTGGGCATGGTTTTTATGATCAATGATTTTTTGGATATCGAATTAGCTCCCAGGCAATATTCCACTTTACAGCGAAACATGACACTCGCATAGTGGTCACCTTTCATGCTGGCCGGACTTAGTTCGAATTTGAGAATCTAAAGGAAGTTTTTTTTTAAATCAGATTTCAATTCAAGCATCAAACCTACCTCAACTTGTTCATTATTTTTGTATTCCCTTAAAACTTTTTCCAAAAATTCCTTGTTTATCCAATCGGGTGCAACCAATTCATCTTCGTTTTTTTATTATTTCCTTTTTTCATTTTTTTATTTATTTTTTTTTTTAATTTTAAAGATCAACAATAGTTATTGCTTTCTAGGCAGATGTTTTAACTAAACTGAGAAAAAATAATTGTGGAACAGACAATTTCAACTACTACTGATTAGTTGTTTTTTTTTTTTTTTCAAGAGGTTTATAACCGATAGCAATTTTTCTGATAAGATATCAAATATAGACTTCTAATTCGAGCCACTATCGGGCCAATATCATTTGTAGTGACCCAAATGAATCATAGAGTCGAAATTTGCAAGGTCATTCTCGATAAATTTTTTTATGGGAGAATTATTGAATCCTATGGAAAAAAGTCCATCCCGGGGATGATTTTTTTCCCATGGATAAAAGTCCATCCATCCGGGATGAATTTTTTTCCTATGGAAAAAAGTCCATCCCTGGGATGATTTTTTTTTCTATGGAAAAAGTCCATTCCCGGGATTATTTTTTTTTCCTATGGAAAATAGTCCATTCCCGGGATGATTTTTTCCTATGGATAAAAGTCCATCCCCGGGATGAATTTTTTTCCTATAGAAAAAAGTCCATCCTTCCCGGGATGAATTTTTTTCCTATGGAAAAAACCCATCGAGGATGAACTTGTTCCTATGGAAAAAAGTCCAACCCCGGGGATGAATTTTTTTCCTATGGAAAAAAGTCCAAACCCGGGGATGGAAAAAAAATTGCTATCGGTTATAAACCTCTCGAAAAAAAACTCCGGGGATGGACTTTATCCATAGGAAAAATATCCATCCTCGGGGATGGACTTTTTTCCATAGGAAAATTTTTTTTCTTTTTTCCATAGGAAAAAATTCCATCCATAGGAAAAATTTCCATCCCCGGGGATGGACTTTTTTCCATAGGACTTTTTTCCATAGGAAAAATTTCCATCCCCGGGGATGGACTTTTTTCCATAGGAAAAATTTCCATCCCCGGGGATGGACTTTTTTCCATAGGAAAAATTTCCATCCCCGGGGATGGACTTTTTTCCATAGGAAAAATTTCCATCCCCGGGGATGGACTTTTTTCCATAGGAAAAATTTCCATCCCCGGGGATGGACTTTTTTCCATAGGAAAAATTTCCATCCCCGGGGATGGACTTTTTTCCATAGGAAAAATTTCCATCCTCGGGGATGGACTTTTTTCCATAGGAAAAATTTCCATCCCCGGGGATGGACTTTTTTCCATAGGAAAAATTTCCATCCCCGGGGATGGACTTTTTTCCATAGGAAAAATTTCCATCCCCGGGGATGGACTTTTTTCCATAGGAAAAATTTCCATCCCCGGGGATGGACTTTTTTCCATAGGAAAAATTTCCATCCCCGGGGATGGACTTTTTTCCATAGGAAAAATTTCCATCCCCGGGGATGGACTTTTTTCCATAGGAAAAATTTCCATCCCCGGGGATGGACTTTTTTCCATAGGAAAAATTTCCATCCCCGGGGATGGACTTTTTTCCATAGGAAAAATTTCCATCCCCGGGGATGGACTTTTTTCCATAGGAAAAATTTCCATCCCCGGGGATGGACTTTTTTCCATAGGAATTTCCCCTTTCATATCTCAATCCAAGATACAAACAGTACACTAAATTTCAAATTTCAAAATTTTATCTCTATCTCTTCAACCAATACCAAATTTAGTACTATTTAGTACTTTTCGTAAAAATTTAGAACTCATTTGCAAAATCGTTTCATATCTCAATTTCAGATACCAACAGAGACCACAATATCAAATTTGAGACTTCCTGCCCTACTCTTCACCCAAACGAAATTTAGTACTATTTAGTACTTTTTCGCACAAATATATAGGACACCTTTTCAAACCCCCTTTCATATCTCAATCCAAGATATCATCAGCACTCTAAACATCAAATTTCAAAATGTTATCTCTATCTCTTCAACCAATACCAAATTTAGTACTATTTAGAACTTTTCGTATAAATTTAGTACTCATTTTCAAAATTTTTCCATATTTCAATCCAAGATACCAACAGAGACCACAATATCAATTTTGAGGCTTCCTGCCCTATTCCTTCACCCAATACCAAATTTTGTACCATTTAGTACTTTTCGTACCAATAAAGTACACATTTCCAAACCACCACCAAATCTCAAAAACAGATACCATCAGCAATCTAAATATCAAAATTCAACATTTTCTCTCTTTCTTTAACACAATGCCACATATAGTACTATTTAGTACTTTTCGTACAATTATAGTACACATTTCCGGCAACACCTCCATTTGTCCGCGCTACACATAAATAGCGACCCTGATAGCAAATTTCAGATTTCAAGCACATCTGTTCACCCAATACCACATTGTACCAAATATAGTACTATTTAGTACTTTTCGTGCACTTGTTGTACAAGTTTCCAAAACCATTTCTTTATCACAAATCTACCACCAATGGGGACCGCAATACAAAATTTCAACATTTCTGCTTTACCAGATCGCCCTAAACCAAACTTTACCAAATTTAGTACCATTTAGTACAGTTCGCTCACTTAGTATACCTCTCCAAAATCACCATCACATATCAAAATTACTTTCCAACCTTGATTATACCACATAGATAAACGCCAATACAACATTTCAAAATTTCCGCTTTATCCATTCCCCCCAAAACAAAACTGTTCCAAATTTAGTACCATATTGTACATTTCGCACACTTAGTACACATTTCCAATTCCACCTGGATATAGCAAACCTTAATTTCCAACCTTGATTCTGATACCAAATTTCAAGTTTTTAGCTCTATGCGATCACATAATACCAAATGGTACCATTTCCGAAGCTTAGTACCATTTTGGAAGTTTTCGTTACCTCAAAGTTGGAATTTCCATAAATAATTTGGTACATCTTTCCTGCACTCTATCAGTGACTCTCATTGCAAATTTTTCGAATTCTAGCTCATTCCATTTGTCCAATACAAAGCAGTCAATTTGTAGTACATTTTTGTAATTTTCGTACCCTTTTGATACGGATTTCCAAAAACACGCATACGCCAAAATTTTAAAGTTCCAGCTCCCGTCTTTTCATCTAAGCGTTGATCTTCAGGAAGGCTGTCGGATATTTCACTACAGTTTTATATAGACAGATTTTTTGACATTTTAAATAGTTTCCGCATTTTCCTCTTAGATCGAGATTTTCATATCTCTCCATAAAAAATTTAATATTGAGCAAATTAAAGTCCTTGCTCTTTTTCTGGTTTTGTATGAACTTTTTTTAATAAAAATTTGTTTTTAAACTTTATTTACATCGCCCTATACTCCTAAAAACGTACTTCTAATCCATATAGCCTTCATTCAAAAGCTGAGGCAGAAATCTCTTCAGTTCCTCGGCATAGACGGGTAGTTTATAGTTCAGGGCGTTGACTTCGGGATTTTCAAGCAGTTCATTGATGTCGGTGTCCTTTAATTCCTCCACAGATTTGCCCATGAAATCGACGACCATGGGCAGCATAACCACAACCATATAAATTACTGAGAAAAAAAAAACAAATAATTAAAAATTAAAAATTACAAAAATTAAAAAATTTCCCACCAAAATGCCGGTATTTCAATGACGAAATTTGAAAATCCGAATACTTGGGCAATTTTCCCTGATAATTGATTTTCTTGAGAATTCTCAAGAATTCACTGAAATAATACTGCATAAATTCATGGCGTCTCAAACGCATTTCCGCATCGAGTATCAAAAACTGGGAGTACAGCAAATCAATGACCGACGGAGCATAGCAACTGATTTGAAAATCCACCATTATCATATCCTCCATTTGATTGTGAGCATCGAATTTGAACATTAAATTCTTCATGTGAAAATCGCCGTGATTCAAAACGAAAATATCACCCTGACCCTTATTCAGACGATAGGCATTGAAGAGATCCTTGCACGCCGGCTCAATTTCATTTTGCATTGCTTTGGCCTTGTCCACATAGATTTTCAGCTCCTCATGCGATTCCAGGACATTGATGAAATTCTTTAGACCATTTGCGAGTAGACTTTTCACCATCGGCATACTCAAGCTCATGAAACCTTCTTGGTATTTGGTGACCACATCAGGTGTTTCACTATGGCCCAACATGTAGGACACAGCATGTAACTTGGCCAATTTGGTGTAGACTTGTTTGACTTCATCTTCGGTAAGACAACGACCACGCACCGTATCGTAGCCCAGTTCACAAAGGTCTTGGAAAATGATGACCTTGTTGGGACTCAGGGAGTAATAAATGATTCTAGAAAGGGAAATAAAACAGGGTAAAAAAGTAGCAGTCGGTATTACCGACTGAGTATAGCCTCAGCCAATGTCTGTTTATTTAAATGTAAATGTTGACTTGCGTTATGATTATTTAAACTGCTGACCCTTTATGTGAGGGAGGTTCCGTAGGAGTTGTCTTATGTTGGAAGATATATTGGAATATGTGAAATTTCAAGAGAATCGAATGCTTATTTGTCATTTTATGAGTCTCATGATTATTTAAAATTTTGACCCCTTGTGGGGGAAGTACCAGAAGGAGTAGGTCGATATATTCTATCTTTACACCAGATCTTGTGTCGGAAGAAATGTTGGGATTTGTGAAATTTTAAGATAATTTGATGCCTATTTCGAATTTAAATAAATTATTCAAAACTTTCACCCCTTTGTGGGGAAGGTAGCAGAAGGAGTAGTCCGATATTTATCATCTTCACACCAGATCTTGTGTCGGAAGAAATATTGGGATGTGTGAAATTAGAAGAGAGTCGGATGATTATTTTGCTTTTTACGAGCCTCATGGTTATTCAAAAGATTGACCCCTTTGCGGGTTAAGTACCAGAAGAAGCAGGCCGATATTTTCTATTTTCACACCAGATCTTGTGTTCATAGAAATATTGGCATGTGCCGAGTTTGAAAGTAATCGGATGCTAGTTCCGCGTTTTATGAGCATTTGGATATCCAAATTCTAACTCTTTGTGGGGGGTGGTACCAGAAGGAGAGAGTCGATATCTATTATCTTCACACCAGACCTTGTTTTGGTAGAAATATTGAGATTTGGGAAATTTGAAGACAATTGGGCTCCTATTTCACATTTTATATCAGTTATAAATATTCAAAACTTTGACCCTTTGGGGGGAGGTACTTGATGGAGGGGACCGACATTGTCCTATTTTGCACCTAAAACTTGCAAAGTTTGCAGAAAATCGAGTGATCTTTGCTTGTTCTATGAGCTAAATTATTTTCTGTGAATATTTTGACCTTTTGTGGGAGAGGTATCAGAAGGAACGGACCTTTATGACCCATCTCCGAACTCGATCTAAGTTTGATAATAATAATACGATGTACCAAGTTTGGATCAAATAGGATACTCTCTTTGAGAGATATCGTGAGCATTCGCCAGCATGGAGATGGACAGACATCCAAATGCCCTTAAATGGATTTAGTCAAAATGGAACTAGGGTCTTAAACCATTATTTCGATAAGGCACGTTTTGGCCGTAGCCTCTGTAACCATGTGGCTGAGGATATAAAAAAATCATTTTTTTATGTGCATATCTTACTCAGCCGATAACGTTGTAGGCTCTCCGCATTGTGCCAAAATTTTCGAAATCTTTGGCAATGCCTGGGTATACATTTCGATTTCAGTTTCAAATACTTTACTCTCCATTAACATTTCACGTTTCATGCCTTCGGCAACGGGAAGAGTTTTGATAATCAGCGATATAGTTTTAACTTCGGCAGGCTGCTTGTCCAAGAAACGATATTCGACCTTGCAACGGAACATGGCACTGGCATAATGATCTCCCTTCATGCTGGCGGGACTCATGTCGAATTTCAACACCTAAATGATATTGGAAATATAATTATTTTATTTATTTATTTATTTTTTTTTTTTTAATTTTTACAAAATTTTCATTACCTCAAGTGGCCCATTGTTCTCATAATTACCGAGAACCTCTTCCAAAAATTCTTTGTTTATCCAATCGGGTGCCGTTAATTCATCGTCATTATAATAGCTCATTTTTATGGACAAATTATTTTCCGTACACAAGTACTCGGTCTGAAATCAAACTAATAAAAAAGTTACTTTGCATGGTTTTCATTGTTTATATACACGCGAAATGACACTAGAGTATGTTTTGTTAGATTATTTAAAAAAAATGAAAAAACCCGCTCTTCAAACGATAAGAAATTATCAATTATAGATTTTTTTCGTTAGAGACACCCCCTAGACGGGCTAGAAAGGGAAGCATAGTAATTAAAGTTCTATGTGACAAGATCCACACGTAAACATTGTTTCAAAACATATTACGACGTCATAAATATACGTCATTAAAATTCAAAACACCTCTAGAAAAATTAACATATATATCTGATCAGATTTTAACCGTTTGATGAAGTTATGATTCTCTTTTTCTCTTTCTCAAATAAACACCTTTAAAAGGAGAAATTTGTCTAGGCACGGTGACTCTCTTTTGAGAAATAAGAGATTTTTTCATTTAACAAAAGGTGAGAGCGTAAAGAGGCTATTGAGAGAAGAACTATAGCGTTTCGTTATTATTTTTAATTGTTTTTAAGCATTTACTATTTATTTATATTCAATCAAAATTTATTTATTTTTAGTTTATTTTGATTTTATTATTATAATATTATTATAATATATAATTAATTAAACGTAGAAGGTAATCTCTTGTAGTGGTGGCTTTAAAAAGTTTGTTTCTACCACTTGGTCCATACGTTGTTTATATTTGTTTGTTAATATTTTATTCCCACATTTTTGTCGAATAATTATTTAATCGTATTATTTATTCACTTTACGTTTCAATCTGCCTTTGCCGATATTCTAAAGTTCGCCGTAAGCTATATTCACTCAGCTGTGGATTAAACTAAACAAACTTGGCTTTCGCTGAGAACATTGTATTTATAGTTATGCAAAACCAAATAGAACGATAGACGTGTGTGCACTTAGAGAAATGAGATGTGAATTCCTCAATAATTTCGAAACAAAAAAATATTCCAAAATTTACTAAAAAGTATGCGTCGTTTAGGCTGTCAGATTAATACTCCCAGCCAATGTCCGTTTATCTATTCTAACGATTCATCAACGCCCAGACGAAACGGTTGAAGTTGAATCTTGAAATTTTAGATGAGGGTCACTTTTGGACCGAAGGGGTCAGATACGGCTGGGTTTTGGGAAATTCGTTCTAGAACAGTACGGAAATTATTAAAAGGTACTAAATAAAATACCCTTTGTATTTGAGAAAGCAGTAGGGCTAGAACTCTTAAATTTGGAATGAGAGTTACTTTAGTAGGAGGGGGATAGAAGTACTAGAGGGTATTTGGAATTTCGCACTATAAGTGTACAAAAAGTACTAAAATGTACTAAATTTGGTACCATTTCGGATCATATAAACGGTTAGAACTAAAAATTTAACTTTGGAATGGGAATCAAGGTTGACCTGTAGAGTCGATGTAAGGAGGTAGTTTTAGAAGAGTACTAAACGGTACTAAATTTCGTACAATTTGAATTTGAAGGTACGAATGGAGTTGGAATCCTGAAATTAGAAATTGACATTACTGGTCTTGGATTGGGATATGGAAGAAGTTTTCGAATATTGTACTTATGTGCACCAAATAAAAAATAGTACTAAATTTGGTACAATTTCGATTTGGGTGAAACTATAGACCTGGAATTCGGAAATTTTGAAAGAAGATTGCTATTGCATTCTAGAACTGAAAAATGTGGTTAGTTTTGGAGATTCGTACTAGAGAGTTCCCACTATAAATGTACGAAAAGTACTAAAATGTACTACATTTGGTACCATTTCGTGTCATGTGAACGCTTAGAGCTAAAAGCTTGAAATTCGGAATCGGAATCACGGTTGAGGAGTAGAGTCGATGTAAGGAGTTAGTTTTGGAAGTGTGTACTCATATACACGAAGAGTACTAAACGGTACTAAATTTAGTACAATTTGAATTTAAAGGAACGAATGGAGTTGGAATCCTGAAATTCAAAATAAATATTACCCGCGGAGTCTAGAATTGGGCTATGGAAGAAGTTTTCGAAAATTGTACTTATGTGCACGACATAGACAAAATGGTACTAAATTTGTTACAATCTAGATTTGGGTGAACCAATAAAGCTGGAATTTTGAAAATAAGATTACTATTGCATTTTACGACTAAAAATGTGGGTAGTTTAGTTTTAGTTTTTTTTATGAAAACCAATAGAGTTGGAATCCTTAAATCCAGAAATAATTTTTTTATTGAACTGTATGATGTAGGTAGTTTTGAAAATTTGTACTTTAGTGTAATAAATTTTATTAAATTTGGAACAATTTGGATTTGGGAGAACCAATAGAGCTAGTGATCTGAAAATTGGAAAAAATATTTAATGATTCTATAACTGTGTTTTTTTTTTTTTTTTTGTTAAATAAATTTTATGGACTTTATCCCAAACTGTAAAGGTAGATTTTTTAAATAATATTTAATGTTCCGCTCTGGATTACAAATGTGGAATTTTGAAAGGAAAAGGGCTCTAAAATGCATTTCTCAGGAATTGTTAACGATACCATATAGGGCTCCACATTCAGAACACTAAACGTGGATTTTAAAAAACATTGACCAAAGCTCCATACCTGATTTTTTTAAAGAATTTTTAACGATTTTATCCAGAGCCCTTAACGTGTATATTTTAGAGAAATTTTAACGACTTTATCCAGAGCCCTAAACGTGGATTTTTTAAAGATTTGTCAGGACCTTATCCATGGCTCTCAACGTGGATTTTTTAAAGATTTGTAAGGACCTTATCCATGGCTCACAACGTGGATTTTTTTAAAGATTTGTATGGACCTTATCCATGGCTCTCAACGTGGATTTTTTAAAGATTTGTAAGGACCTTATCCATGGCTCTAAATGTGTATTTCTTAAAGATTTTTTAACGACCTTATCCAGAGCTCTAAACGTGGATTTTTTTAAAGAATTTTTAACGACCTTATCCAGGGCTCTAAACGTATATTTTTTAAAGAATGTTTAACGACCTTATCCAGAGCTCTAAACGTGGATTTTTTTAAAGAATTTTTAACGACCTTATCAAGAGCTCTAAACGTGGATTTTTTAACGACCTTATCCAGAGCTCTAAACGTGGATTTTTTTAAAGAATTTTTAACGACCTTATCCAGAGTCCAAAACGTGGATTTTTTTAAAGAATTTTTAACGACCTTATCCAGAGTCCAAAACGTGGATTTTTTTAAAGAATTTTTAACGACCTTATCCAGAGTCCAAAACGTGGATTTTTTAAAGAATTTTTAACGACCTTATCCAGAGTCCAAAATGTGGATTTTTTTAAAGAATTTTTAACGACCTTATCCAGAGTCCAAAACGTGGATTTTTTAAAGAATTTTCAACGATTTTATCTAGAGCCATAAACGTGGGTTCTTTGAAGAATTTTTAACGACCTTTTTCAAAACCCTAAACATCTATTTTTTTAAAGAGTTTTTAACGACCTTTTTCGAAACCCTAAACATGTATTTTTTAAAGAGTTTTTAATGACATACTCCAAGGCGTTTTTTAAAGAATTTTTAATGACCTAATCCGAAGCCCCAAACGAGGATTTTTAAAGAAATGTTAACGACCTTATCCAGGGCTCTAAACGTGGATTTTTAACGAATTTTTAACAACCTTATCCAGAGCTCTAAACGTGGATTTTTTAAAGAATTTTTAACGACCTTATCCAGAGCCCTAAACGTGGATTTTTTTCGAATTTTTAACGACCTTATCCAGAGCCCTAAAAGTGGATTTTTGATAGAATTTTTAACGAAATTATCAAGAGCCGTACATGTTTTCCCTTAAATAGAACTCATAAAAATTTTAAAAAATTAAATATTCAAAATAGTTAAGAAAATCATTCATAAATGCCACAATTAGTCTTTCAAACAGATATTCAAAAAATCACAAATTGAAAATGCAAAATTTATTTGGTTTTCAACATATCAACTTCCCTAACAAGTTCCAATATCACATTCCCGAGCATTATTAGAATTTTAATTGAGTTGAATTTGCCTATTTCAGTTATTAGAGATTCCATAAGTTTTTTTGTTCTTCTAAGTTGCAGTTAGAGGAACGCAGTTTGATTAAATGACATTTCATCATTATTTTTTTGATTTTTTTTATTTCAAATCACATAACAGCAACTTGACCAATATGATTTTTTTGCGGACATTTATGGTCATTTTGCGAATTTGTATTTTGTTTTGTACGCAATTACAAGCTGATTTGAAAGACTCTTGAAATGCTCAACTTAATGCTGCTTAAAAAGAAATGCCTGCATAAAATACTTTTTTTATGCAGTGGGTTTTTTTCTGGTCTTTGCCAAATTACAATAGCGGCAGGTTTGACGACCAAAATGCCCAAAATCGATCGATGTTAGCCGTCATTATTGATAAGTTGGGGTGTTAAGTGTGTGGCAGACAGACGGACGGACGAATAGACATTCAGTATGTTAAAGGCGACTAAGTGGACATTTAACATGACTTGCCATCTTGCTGTTCATCATGGCGTTGCCGCTGATGATGAAGCTTGAGCTGATGCTGGCGGCATTTGATTCTCTTGCTGACCGACCGATTAACAAAACTCTAGTCTGTAGCCATGACAAATGGCTTTCTGTTTTTGGCTATTTTGTCAACAAATTGTCTTCAAAACATGCCCCGAAAGATGATGTTTTCAACAGAACACGTTTTGTTAACATTTTCTTAAGTTTGTTTGTGTGTGACAGACAACAAAACCCGCCGGCTGCAGTTAGTGGCTATGAGTTGTTAATTTTATTAATTAGTCGCCAAGAACAATGGCATTAATGAAAAACTTTCGATTTTTCTAATGATTTCCAGAGGGGAAAAAAGTGAAATTACTTTCCTTTTTTTTTCGTCAATTGTATTTTTGTGAGTTTTCCAATGAGAACAGAGAGGACAGTGTGGGGTTCATTAGAAGGGAAAGAGAGCATAATCTTATAATCTAATTAAAAATATATATTTGAAAAAAAAGTCAATGTTTTTGGTTCGTTTTCAAATAGAAGCCTTATTCAAGCTTCAAAGTAGAATTTTTACTAGTCATATCTAATAAAATGACTTAAAAAATGATATTTTCCAATGATACATATTTGAGTTTTCGTGGCATTATCAGGGGCTCCAGAGGCGGATTTTTAACAAAATAATATTTAATGATCTAATCTGAAGCCATACACCAGGATTTTCAATTACCCAATCCGAAGCCCCAAACGTAGGTTTAAAATAAAATAACGACCTAATTTCAAATCCCCAAACGTGGATTTTTAAATAGTTTTTAATGAACTAATCCTAAGCCCCAAACGTGAATTTTTTAAAGAATTTTAATGACCTAATCCGAGCACCAAACGTAGATTTTTTAAATAATTTTTAAAATCTTATTCCGAAACCCCAAACGTGGATTGTTTGAAGAATTTTTAATGACCCAATTCGAAGTCCCAAACGTGGATTTTTTAAAGAATTTTAAAAGACCGAATCCAAAGCCACAAACGTGGATTTTTAAAATCTTATTCCGAAACCCCAAACGTGGATTTTTAAAATCTTATTCCGAAACCCCAAACGTGGATTTTTTGAAGAATTTTTCATAACCCAATTCGAAGTCCCAAACGTGGATTTTTTTAAAAAATTTCTTTCAGAGCTCTAAATCTGGATTTTTTAGATCAAAAAAAAGAATTTTTAATGACGTCTTCCCGGGCTCTAAACGTGGATTTTTTAAATATTTTGTTTATACCAAAAAATTGATTTTTAATGAGGTCTTCCACGGCTCTAAACGTGGATTTTTTAAAGAATTTTTAAGACCTAAAAATTAATTTTTGATGACGTCTACCAAGGCTCTAAACGTGGATTTTTTAAAGAATTTTTAAGGCCTAAAAATTAATTTTTGATGACGTCTACCAAGGCTCTAAACGTGGATTTTTTAAAGAATTTTTAAGACCTAAAAATTAATTTTTGATGACGTCTACCAAGGCTCTAAACATGGATTATTTACGGAATTTTTTTAGACCAAAATTGATTTTTAATGACCAAGAAGTTTTGAAGACCTCATTTAGGCCTCTCCAAGTAATTTTTTTATAATTTTTCAAAACTTCACTCAATTATCTAAACTTAATTTCTTGAAGAATTTTTAATGAACAAATCCAACCCCCAAAACGTGACTTTTTAAAACAAGTTTGGAAGACCTTATTCAAGGCTCTTATTGGGTATTTTTTATAGAATTTTTAAAATCCTCATTCGGACTAAAATCGTTTTTTTTTTAATTAAAAACATCCTTCAGGGGTCTCAACGGGGAATTTTTTAAAGACTTTTTAAAGATCGGATTTAAGGCTTTGCACGTGGAATTTTCTTTATTTTTCAACGTGGATTTTTTTGGGAACCTCACTCATTGTTCTTAACGTGTTTTTTTAAAAATCCCGAAGACCTCATGCAGAGGTCTTAAAGTGGATTTTTAATGGATTTGTGAATACCTCAATCAGGGCTCTCTAATTAAATTTTTTAGAAAAAATTTGAAAGACCTCATTCAGAGCTCCAATTGTGATTTTTTAAGGATTTTTAAAGACCTCATTAAGAAATCTTTTTTTAAGAATTTTTGAAGAATTCATTCAGGACCCACAACCCTGATTCAAGACTCTAAATGTGAATATTTAAAGAATTTTTGAAAACCTTATTCAGGGTTCTCAATGTGGATTTGTTTATTCATTTTTGGAGACCTCATTAGGAGCTGTCTCCGTGAACTTTTTAGAGGATTTTTAAAAGGTCTCATTCCGGGCTTTCCTCGTGGAGAATCTAAACGTAAATTCTCCGTTGATTTTTCAACGTGGATTTTTTGGGAACCTCACTCATTGTTCTTAACGTGTTTTTTTAAAAATCCCGAAGACCTCATTCAGAGGTCTTAAAGTGGATTTTTAAGGTATTTGTGAAGACCTCAATCAGGGCTCTCTAATTAAATTTTTAGAACAATTTTAAAGACCTCATTCAGAGCTCTAATTGTGATTTTTTAAGGATTTTTAAAGACCTCATTAAGAAATCTTTTTTTAAGAATTTTTGAAGAATTCATTCAGGACCCACAACCCTGATTCAAGACTCTAAATGTGAATATTTAAAGAATTTTTGAAGTCCTCATTCAGGGTTCTCAATGTGGATTTTTCATGTATTTTTGGAGACCTCATTAGGAGCTGTCTCCGCGAACTTTTTAAAGAATTTTCAAAATGTCCCATTCCGGGCTTTCCTCGTGGAGAATCTAAACGTCATTTTCTCCGGAGTTCTAAACGTTAATTTTCTAATGACCTAATTTTGGTGGCTATAAAAGTTGAGGTGCATATGTACCTATATCCCTTTCTATTTGCTTTAACTTCCAATATTTCTCGCCTCAATTTCCTCCCACATTTCGATCTCAATTTATTTTCATTTTCCAATCAACACCATTATCTACAATTGAATATTACATATTAAAAATTTCAAAACACTTTACTGCTATTTATAGACAATTTTTTTTATCGGAAAATATTAAAACACGTAACCGTATTATTTTTCATTATTAACAACAATAATTTGCATTGTTTTCCGAATCAATATCACAATTCTAAAACAAATTGAGTGAATATTGCAGTTGTGGAATTTCTATAACAATACGGTTTGCAGTTCAATCTACAATTGGACGACATCATCATCACCATCCTTGTAAGTATGCACTTACAGCCATCTATTTGTGTAATTAATGAATGAAAAACAACAAACCTAGAACAAAGTATTTTTTGTTGTGACTTAAGATGCGTTAAGAACGCAAATAATCCAAGTCGAAAATTGTATTTTTTTATTTATTTATTTATTTTTTTAAATAAATGTATTTCCCCATAAAGGTATTGGATAGTAGAAGAGAAATAAAAATATAAAAAGGAAATAATGATTCAACAAAGGCAACAAAATTTAATAAATTCATAAAATTCAAAATTTTAAATATTCATAAATAGTGAAATATTAAAGAAATATAAATTTAATTTTCCTCGTGATAAATTCAATTCCTAACCATCAGTAGGTTTTGTTGTTAATTTTTTTCTTTAAACTTGAAATAATTTTTTCTTTTGTGACTTAGTACATTTTTAATCATAGCGGCTCAATTGTACGCTTCAATAATTTTAATATTGTTAATAAATTCGTTTTGTTTTTAGAATTTTATTGGTGCCAAATTGAAAGATGACTTGCAAAATGAAACTATATTGTTAATGATTGTTTTTGTTTCTGTCTCTCTGCTTTTTTTATTAATAAAATGTTTGTTGTTTCCCTGTTAAAGTGATTTTTTTCCTACCACATAAATATAAGTCGCATTCTCGATTTTGTGTATGGCAAAAAAGATTTTTTTGGGGAATTACTTTTAATACCCAAAACATGGACCGATAAATACTACATTAAAGTCGGCTTTAGGGAAATAATGTAAAATTATGCAGCATATTTTTATGGACCCTATAACGATTTTTATACCCTACACCACATAATGTTATAAGGGTGTTACGACTTTGTGCATTTGTATGTAACATGGAGAAGGAAGCGAGATAAACCCATAGTTACTTTTGAGGATCCTCCTAGAATCACTTAGTGAGTCGATTTATGCATGTCAGTCCGTCCATCCGTCTGTCCATGTATTTTTGTGAACAAAATGCAGGTGGGATCTTTTTATCCAATTGAGATGAAAATTTCCAAACAATATTTGTTTGGCCCAAGGACGAACCCTATTGAAATTGGTGAGAATCGGTTCCAATTTGTATATAGCTCCCATATGTATCTTCAACCGATTTTCGGTTAATTCTGCACCAAATGGCCAATATCAGTACAAATGGACGTAATTTTGGTACATCCCACCGGATTCAGTCTAGAAGTAAGTAAATCTGTAAATCAACATCGGTTCAGATATAGCTGTAGCTCCCATATGTATGTTTCATCTCAAATTTTATCGAGATCGGATCAGATTAGGAGATAGCTACCATACATAACTTTAACCGATTTCGGGTTAATTGTGCACCAAATGGCTTATATCACTCCAAATGACCGGAATTTTGGTAGATACGAGCGAATTCAGTCTTTAAAATTTTATTGAATGAAAGCATAAACTGTCGGAAATAGCATCAATTTTGGAATAAGTTTAGATTTGTTCGAATTGGTCACCTTTGGCACGAATTATGGCCTTAAAAGGCCAATGAAACTGTCACACGCTGCCCGAATGTTGCTCTGTGGTATTTTGGCCCATTGCCGGCGATGCGCCTGCTTGAGGTGATCGACACTTTGGTATTTTTTAATGCCAACCTTGCTTTCCAAAATACTTCAGACACAATAATCCAACGGATTGGTATCCGGAGATTTTGGTGGCCATTATGCGCTGGAAATGGAGCGAGGAACCTCATTCTGCAACCATTCTTGGGTTGTGCGTACTGAGTGCGATGGTGTTAAGTCCTGTTGGAATGTCCAATGTCTGCGTGCCCAAGGCTTTAATACAACCTCCAGAATATTTTCGCAATAATATTCGGCATTTATTCTGATGCCACGGTCGATTAATACGAGCGGAGAGCGACCATCGGCTGTTATGGCGGCCCACACCATCATCATGGCCGGTGCTTGAGTTCTGGTGGCCAACCGAAGGTGCACATTTTCAGCTGACCTCTTTGCCAAGTAAATACGATAATTTTGTTTCTTTACAAACTGCTGGACAACGAATGTTTTCTCATCGGAGAAAACCAAATTCGGCAAATTCACCACTTTCGGCCATGCGAAGCAACTCTTTAGCTCCTTTGAGTCTATTTTCTTTCTGTTGCGGTGTAAGTTCTTGCCCTTTGGGAATTTGGAATTTCAATGGCTTTACCCCGAGCTGATTTTTCAATATTTGCCGGAAGGAATATTGCGATATGTTCAGCTCACGAGCCATTTTTCGGCCACCGCCACGAGGGTTTCGATCAAGTCGATTCTTTACTTTTCGAACCATTTCTGCTGATGTTGCCGTTTTCTTCCGTTCACTTCCTCGACGTCGGGCTACGCTACTAGTATCACGGTAACGGGCGATTGTACGAGACACAAGAGATTTATTCACATTTAAATGCTGGAGTGCTCTAACGATAGCCACTTGTGGGTTTCCCGCCAAATATAAAGAAATCACTCTATCACGCTTGAATTCCATCACAATTAACATTTTTTTCTGGAAAATTCTCACCAAAATGCTTTTGTACGCTTGTAAACAATACAATGAACTGTCACTGGAATAATTTTAACAACTGTCGGACGAGTGGATTAAAAATGGCAGCAGTCTTAAGTGGGTTTTTCATTTCACCCTGTATTTTTAATATCAGCCCAAATTGAATAGATTTTTTCATATTCAATTGAATTTTACTATTTGGTTAAACTCGGTCCGGTGCTCTAATAAATATATTTTTTTTAAATAATCCTTATCGAACCACCGATGTTATTTGGTTCATAGTTGGTTTAGTAGATCATAAATTCCCAATATAAACTTCTTTGTTACGGTAGAACTACTAAATGGTGTAGGGTATCATAGAGTCGGCTCCACCCCACTTTTGACCTTTCCTTACTTTTTTTTTTTTTTTTTGGGTTAATAGACAACGATTGAAACAGCTAAATAAATTTACATAAATTATTCAATTTTTTATTTATGTTTATAATTGTTAAATATAACATTGGAAAAACAACGACTATTAAACTAACGAAAAAAAAAATAATTATCATTTTATTCAATCCATTCTAAACACTTCAACTTGTATCTTATCACTATGACATGGCAACAGGGTGACAGGAACTAATCCAGATAACCCTCGTTCAGTAGTACCGGCATAAAGTTGCGAATTTCTTCAAACACTTCAGGTGAGAAATATAAATAGGCATTCATATCGGGATTTTCGGGTAATTTTGTGGTGTCGATTTCTTTTAATTCCTCAGCGGGTTTTGCCAGAAAGCCCAAGACCAGGGGTAGCAAAACTCCCATGCAGTACATAACTAAAAAGAGGAACAATATAAAAAATATATAATTTTTTAAAATTAATTTCCAAAGAATAGAGGATAGTGTCCTCTTACCAAAATGCCGATATTTCAGGGTCGACTGCTGGAATTGTGAATATTTCGGCAGTTTCCCTTCGAAATCGAGTTTCTTCAGAATCCTTAAAAATTCCGTAAAATAAAAACGTATCAAACTGTGACGTCGCATTCTCAGCTCAGGACTCATCAACATAAATTGCGAATAGATCAAATCAATGCAAGACGGAGCATAACAACTTATCTGATAATCGACCATCATTACATCCTCTACACTTTCCTCGGAATTCAATTTAAACATCATATTTCTCATATGGAAATCGCCATGATTTAATACGAAGATATCTCCTTTATTGCCATTGGTTTTGTAGGCATTAAAGAGATCCTTACATGCCTCTTCCAATTCATTGAATATCACCTTAACCTTATCCACATAGATGGCAAATTCGTCGCGCGATTCCAGTACATCCAAGAAATGTTTCATGCCATACGACATCATATCCTTCATCATGGGCAGACTGATTGACATGAAACCATCCTGGTATTGGGCCACCGATTCATGTTCCTCACCCTGACCCAACATATACGAGACAGCATGGAGTTTGGCCAATTTTGTATAGACCACCTTAAGTTCATCTTCGGTTAGGTAACGACCACGCAAAGTATTGAAACCCAGCTCACACAAGTCTTCCATAATCAGGATTTTATGGGGCTGCAGGGCGTGATAGAATAAACTGAAAAGGAATATGATTTTGAATAGCATGATTACACATAACGTTAAGGTCATATGAAAAGTACTTATTGATTGATGCCTTTTTAAAGCATAGTTTTAGGCGCTTCTTAGAAATTTTGACAATTTGAAAGGAACGCTTTGGAACTTTGAATTCCATGAGTTTTGAAATAACTGACTGACTCATCCAGAATCAACGTCCAGACGAAAACACCGAATTTTGGAAATTCGTACTAAAAGGATACGAAAAGTACTAAAATTTTCTAAAAATTTAATTCTTCGAATTGGACTAAACTAGAATCCTGAAATTTGGAATAAGAGTCTCTGACGGAGTGAAGGATAGATGTACCAAAGGGTTTTTCAAAATTCGAACTTCAAGGTTACGAAAAGTTCTAAAATTGTACTAGACGTCTATAATGGTACCATTTGGTACTATACGAACAGATAGAACTAAAAACTTGAAATTTGGTATGAGAATCAAGTAAGTTTGATAGATGAAAGTGGATTTTGAAAATGGGTACAAATTGTGCGCACTGTACTAAATGGTACTAAATTTGGAACAGTTTGGTTTAGGGTGAACGAATGAAACTGGAATTTTGAAATTTTTTATTAGGGTCCCTATATTGGGTGGTAGGTTTGTGATAAAAAGGTGGTTGTGAAAATAGGTACTACAATTCCACATAAAGTACTAAAAAGTACTATATTTGGTACAATTTGGTATTGAAAGAACAGATAGTGCTTGAAACCTGAAATTTGGTATTGGTATGTGTAGCCTGGTCATATGAAGGTGGTTTCGGAAATGTGTACTATAATTGTACGAAAAGTACTAAATAGTACGAAATTTGGCATTGGGTGAAGGGATTGAGATAAAATTCTGAAATTGGATATTTAGATTTCTGATGGTATCTGTGTTTTAAATTTGGCGGTGGTTTGGAAATACATCCTATATTCGAAAAGTACTAAATTTGGTACTGGGTGTAGGAATAGAACTGAAAGTGTCAAATTTAATATTGCGATAACTGTTGGTGTGTAGGATTGAGATTTGGTATGGTTTTCAAATGAGTACTAAAATGTTACGAAAAGTACTAAATAGTACTAAATTTGGTGTTGGGTGAAGAAATAGATCTAGAATCCTGAAATTTGAAATGGATGTCACTGTTGGTGTCTGTGGTTACATGACATGGAGTTAGTTTTGGAAATGTGTACTATAATTGTACGAAAAGCGGCACTAAATTAGGTTGTGGGTGAAGGGATTGAGCTGGAAGTCCGAAATTTATTATTAAGGTCTCCTTTAGTATCTTGGATTGAGATATGGAGATGATTTCGGAAATGTCTACTATAATTGTACGAAAAGAACTAAGTGGTACTAAATTGGGTATTGGGTGAAAGGATTGAGCTGGAATCCCGAAATTTGTTATTAAGGTTAAGGGATTGAAATATGAAGGTGGTTTTTGGAAATGTATTCTATAATTGTACGAAAAGTACTAAGTGGTACTAAATTGGGTATTGGGTGAAGGGATTGGGCTGGAATTCTCACTTTTGATATTGAGGTCTCTTGGTATCTTGGATTGAGATATGGAAGTGGTTTTGGAAATGTCTACTATAATTTTACGAAAAGTACTATGTGGTACTAAATTGGGTATTGGGTAAAGGAATAGATCTGAAATCTTGAAATTTGATACAGATGTCACTGTTCGTCTCTGTGGTTGAGAGAAGAAGCCGGTTTTGAATGTATGTACTATAATAAATCTAAATGGTACCTAATGTGGTAATGAGAGAAATTACAGAGTTGAAATCCTGAAATTTGATATCAAGGCCACTTTTGCCATCTGAAATTGGAATATGGTGGAGAATTTGAAAATGGGTCCTTTAAATGTTCGAAAAGTACTAAATGGTAATAATTTTGGATCACGGTAGGTGTGGAGGATGGAGAGATGTAGATTGTTTTGGATATGCGTAAAAATGTTACCAAATTTGGTATTAGGTGAAGAAATAGAGCTAGAATCCTGAAATTAGATATGAGTGTCACTGTTGGTTTCTAGGATTTAGATATGGAGACGATGAAACAGTTTTGGGTAGAAAATATTGGATGTGAGTCCATTATACAATGGTTTTACTAATATCCTCCTTCGTTAACTTCAAAATGAAAATTTTTATAGATTTTTTTCGTGTAAAAGGTAATTATTCTTTCCGAAATAAAAAATTGGACAATTTGTGCATTTTGGGTACTAAAAAGCCAAAAAGGGACTGTTGGAACGTATGTAAAATTTTAAGATGGACTTTTCGTTGACGAAGTAGAGGACATTTGCTAGCCCCAATAGATTGGTATTTTTATGATCTCGATTATTTGGTTGAACTTTAGAATTGTAAGCATCTGCCGGACTAAACGCCTTTTTTACCTTTTGAAGTCTTAGTAGATAGACGTCTTATGCTGAACTATTTTGTATTTTAAATAACGCCAACCAGTAAACATTCGGTCCACTATAGCTTTAAATATGTGATTTTCCTTGCAAAAGAAGTTGCCTAAATGTATGCATCCGTTCTTGTAGCCTCAGCTAGATTCCAAAAGTTGACACCTAAAAGTATGAACCACTTTTTGCCTAATCATTTGTTTATAAATAAAAAACCCTTGTCATTGTCACGAAATTTAATATGGAAAACACCCCCCATTGAATAACTTTATCTGAACCACTTGAAACTACACAATAACAACGAACTATTATTAACATCATAATCATTAACTTACCCAGCTGATAACTTGGTTGGCTCACCGCACTCGGCCAAGATTTTCTCAAATTTCGGCAATGTTTCGGAATACATTTTAATTTCCGTCTCAAATAGTTTGGAATCCATTAGAAATTCTCGTTTTTTACTATCCTCTTCCACTGGCAGAGTTTTCATGATCAGCGACCTCTTGACAATGTTGTCGCCCAGACGATATTCCACTTTGCAGCGAAACATAATGCTGGCATAGTGGTCACCCTTCATGCTGGCCGGACTCATGTCGTAGTTGATGATCTGAAAAATAAAGGAAGAAAATTGTTATAAAATGAAAGATTATTTAAAATATATTTAAAAATATATAAAAAAAAAACTGGAAGAATTTTTACGAAATAGCCGATTTTTCCTTTTTGATATCGAAGAGAAAATTGCAAAACTGGTAGATTCTTGCAGATTCAGGAAACAGGTCAATAATAAAACTGTGCAAAAAATATTTTTTTAAATCTTTTTTAAATTTTTTTTTTATTTTCACCAATAGATATTTTTTTGATTGATCTCCTTGAAATTCCACCCCATCTCCAAAACTCACCTCTACATCTGCAACATTCTCATATTTTGCCAATACCATTTTTATGAAATCTTGATTTATCCAGGCGGGAGCTGTCAATTCATCTTCGTTGAATAAACTCATGGTTGTTGTTTTTTTTTATTCTTGGCGCAGTCACACGAAATCGAAAGAGATGTTGTTACACTGAAGCGTAAATTGAAAATAAAACTAATATAAAATTCTATTCCGGCGTCTAGCTAACTAGTCGTGTGCCAGTCAGTTGGTTGAAGAGAAAAGCAAATAGTTATCAATTTTGATAAGGAACTTTGTGTGTATGTGTGTGACTTCCAACGGCAGAACGACACAACGATCGGTGACAATAGCGTTTACATTTAAATTAAATTTTTATTCTCCCACCTCACGAACGAAGGGGTAAAGCATTTGATTTGTTTAGATCTGTTAAGTTTTCTTTGCATAGATCGCTCCAAGTAAAAATGGGTTAAGTCAGTATTTTACATATTTTTATACCCTCCACCATAGTATGGAGGGTATATTATTATTATTATTATTATTATTATTATTATTATTATATTATTATTATTAGTTATTATTATATTATTATTATTATTATTATTTATTATTATTATTATTATTATTATTATTAATTATTATTATTATATTATTATTATTATTATTATTATTATTATTATTATTATTATTATTATTTTATTATTATTATTATTATTATTATTATTATTATTATATTATTATTATTATTATTATTATTATTATTATTATTATTATATATTATTATTATTATTATTATTCTTATTATTATTATTATTATTATTATTATTATTATTATTATTATATTATTATTATTATTATTATTATTATTATTATATTATTATTATTATTATTATATTATTATTATTATTATTATTATTATTATTATTATTATTATTATTTATTATTATTATTATTATTATTATTATTATTATTATTATTATTATTATTATTATTATTATTATTATTATTATTATTATTATTATTATTATTATTATTATTATTATTATTATATTATTATTATTATTATTATATTATTATTATTATATTCTTATTATTATTATTCTTATTATTATTATTATTTTATATATTATTATTATTATTATTATTATTATTATTATTATTCTTATTATTATATATTATTATATTCTATTATTATTATTATTATTATTATTATTATTTATATTATTATTATTATTATCTATTATTATTATTATTATTATATTTATTATTATTATATTTATTATTCTTATTATTATTCTTATTATTATTATTATTATTATTATTATATTATTATTATTATTCTTATTATTATTCTTATTATATATTATTATATTATTATTATTATTATTATTATATATTATTATTATTATTATTATTATATATTATTATTATTATTATTATTATTATTATTCTTATATATTATTAATTCTTATTATTATTATTCTATTATTATTATTATTATTATTATACTTATTATTATTATTATTATTATTATATTATTATTATTATTATTATTATTATTATTATTATTATTATTATTATTATTATTATTATTATTATTATTTACATTTTAGACTCCACAAAGTATATGTATTCTAGATCAGCATAAAATTCTATGTCGATGACTGTCTGTCCGTCTATCTTTGAAAATCACTCTAACTTCCGAACGAATTAAAGTAGATTGATAAAATTTTACTCAAATGTATATTACGTCTGCAGGACTTTTGGTATTGAAAATGGGACGTGTAGGTCCACGTCTTCGTATAGCCTCCATATAACGGTACCTCCCAATATTCGATATTTTGATGATTTTAGCGACATTATTCACTGGATTTGTTTCAAATTTGATATTTGAAGTTCGTAATAGATACTACAGCCTATGACAAAATATTGTCTGCACAGATCCACGTCTTCGTATAACTCCCACATAACAATACCTCCCGATATTCGGAATTTTGATGATTTAAGCGACATTATTCACCGGTAATGTTTCAAATATGGTATTTGAAGTTCGTAATGGATACTACAGCCTATGACTCAAAATTGTTTGTACAGGTCCACGTTTTCGAAAATCCCCCTATATCAGTACCACCCGATATTCGGTATTTTGACGATTTTAGCTACATTATTCACCGATTTTTTTTAAGTTTCGCATTTGAATATTGTAATGGCTTATGACAAAAGTTACCTATGCAGGTCCAAGTTGTCGTATAGACCCTAATATAACAGCAACATTCGGTATTTTTAAGATTTTAACAGAATTTTTAACGAATTTTATTGTTTTTGAGAATTGCAAAATTGTGGAGGGTTTTCAAAGTTCGGCTTGGCCGAACTTACAGCTTTTTTGCATGATTTTATTTCCTGAGGACTTGAAACACATAATTTATCCACAGAGATTCCAACAAGGAGAGTCTTTCTATAGAAGACCAGAAAGGATAGTTTATCCACAAGAGACCCAAAAAATTGTTTTAATTGAAATTATGGCCAAATAAGGCCTTCCACGGTGTATTGAAGGCTTGAAAACGGTCTTCTATCACAAAGATTTCATGGAATCCTTTAATTTTAGTTATATAGTGCCCTTGGCAATATTACTTACAACAATACGAGGATTATTTTAATCAAACATTTTAACCCACAACCGAGTCACGAAAGGGTTTTTTTGGTTCTTTATTTCAAAAAAATGTTTAAAAACTCCCTTTAATCGGTATCGTAGAAAGTCAAAATATTCTACAAAATTATTTTTCATGAAATTCTACTATAGGTCCAAGAAGACATCAAAGGTCTAAGTCTTACAAAAATACCAGGAATTCAAAAAGAATTAAAAACACATTTTCGGATTAAAGATGTACTTCATGTGAATTTATGCAAAAAATCTCCTACAAAACACCATTTTAGAAGGATGATGTTAAAGACAAAAATATTCTTCATCAAATTTCACTATAAGTTATCAAAGAGGAGAAATCTTTATTTCCATTATATATCCAGAAAAAAATTGTATCAATGTTGCCAAAAAAAAAACTCGAAAATGTATCATATTTTTCAAACAATTTTTCCTCGGCGTTTTTCCGATTTAATGCATAAAAGTAACATAAAACTTCATTTTAAGCAGAAAGTACCAAAGGAAGAAATATTCTACTTAAAATTTCACTACAAATTTCAAAATAAACCATACATCTGGGTATAATAATTTTTAAAATAATTACATTCGAAATTTGTATATTACAAGTGAAAATTATGTGTTTACGTTTTTTGCTGCCAATTTGACACTTTTCCCTTCTAAGCCAAAATCTCCCCTTATGCTTCATTGTTTGGGAAAAGTGTCAAAGGACGAAATATTCTAGATCAAATTTCATTGTCAGTCTCTGAACAAAAGAAATTTGTATACTCAATATTTACCATAAAAAATATCATCAGTTTTTTGTTGTTTAAAACCCTATGTTATTTTCGACAAATTTTGTACTTTTTCCAAACTTCCTGCATTTTTTATAATTTCACAGTAAAACAGCATTTCTGATAGTGCTCGGTAATTAATTTTTGTGTTGCATAGTGTAATTTATTTGTGTAAGTTATTATAATATATTTTAATGTACATTTATGAGGTAGTTTTTGTTGTTGAAATTCAAATTATAATAAAGCATTTTCACAACTTGCCGCCTAAAAGTATGCAACATGCTTATTTGAGAAATCACATGTTATATTCCCAGTACCTTTAGGGCATTTTAATATATTTTTTGTGACTTTCAATAGCGGATTATAAAAATAAATTTCAAAAATACGTTTTGAAAATAGAATTTCTAAACCAAATAATTTTTACAATTTTCTTAAAGCCCTCCACCTTAAATCTTATAAATACACTAGATAAACATTTTTGTAGACTAATCCAAATAACCCTCATCCAATAGCAAAGGCATAAAGTTTTCGACTTCCGCAATAAATTCAGGAGTATAATACAAATGGGAATTGGAATCGGGATTTTCTGACACCTCAGCGGCATTGACATCCTTCAGTTCCTCAGCAGTTTTGGTTAAGAAGCCCAAGACCAAGGGTAGAAATACTCCCAGGCAATAAATGGCTGAAAAAAATTAAATTAGATTAAATTAGATAATAATTATATATTTTTTAATTCCATAAATAATCCTTACCAAAATGCCTATACTTCAGTGTAGACTGTTGAAACAGAGAATACTTCGGCAAATCTCCTTCGAAATTCAGTTTCTTCAAAATCCTTAAAAATTCCGTGAAATAATAACGCACCATAGCATGACGCCGCTGCAGTCTCATCGCGGGACTCATTATTATAAATTGGGAATAAATCAGGTCAATGCACGAGGGAGCATAACAACTTATCTGATAATCCACCATGAGCATATCTTCCGCACTTTCCTCCGAATTGAATTTAAACATCATATTTCTCATATGGAAATCTCCATGATTTAAAACGAATATATCCCCCTTATTGCCATTCAATTTATAAGCATTGAATAGATCTTTACACGACTGTTGCATTTCTTCTGATATCACCTGGACTTTGTCAACATAGATTGCAAACTGTTGGCGGGATGAGAGCATTTTCAAGAAACTCTTCATGCCACTTATCATCATGTCTTTCACCACTGGTAAACTAGTTGCCAAAAATCCATCTTGAAATTGGGCCACCGATTCGAGTTCCTCATCGTTTTGGCCCAACATATAGGAGACAGCATGCAGTTTGGCCAATTTGGTATAGACCACCTTAAGTTCATGTTCGGTTAAATATCGGGCACGCACTGTACTATAACCCAATTCACAAAGATCTTCCATAATGAGAATTTTATGGGGCTGCAAGGCGTGATAGAATAGACTGAAAATGAAATTGTAAGATTATTATCATTAAAATATTAGTAGCCTAAAAGTATGCAGCATGTTTTGTATAAAAACTTCCTAAGGCAATGAGAGAATGTAAAAATAAACATTTCATCTTACCCAGCTGATAACTTGGTGGGCTCACCACATTCTGCCAAGATTTTCTCAAATTTCGGTAGTGTTTCGCAATACATTTTAATTTCCGTCTCGAACAGTTTTGAATTCATTAGAAATTCTCGTTTTTTGCTATCCTCTTCCACCGGAAGAGTTTTCATAATCAGCGATCTCTTTACAATGCTGTCACCCAAACGATATTCCACCTTGCAGCGAAACATAATACTGGCATAATGGTCGCCCTTCATACAGGCCGGACTCATGTCGTAGCTAATGAGCTGGAATGATATGAAAGTAAAAAAATTTTATCCTTATTTAGAAAAAAAAAAAATAATAAAATAATCAAAAAAAGTTAGGTTTGACCGATCAAAAATTGTAAGAGTATGGAATTAGAGAGAATTTTCTCACTCACGCACAAATATTTGCAATAAAATGCAGGTCGGATGTATTATCCTATTGAGATGAACTTCTCCAAAAAAATATTTGTTTGGCCCAAAGACGAACCCTATTAAAATTTGTGAAAATCGGATAAAATTTGGATATAGCTTCCAAATATATCTTTAACCGACTTCGGGTTAATTTTGCACCAAAATGGCAAATACCAGTCCAAATGACCTGATTTTTGGCACATCCGACCGAATTCAGTCTAGAAATAAGTACATCAAATAGAAAATCGGTTCAGATATAGTTGTAGCTCTCATACATATGAATCATCCGATTTGGGTTTTAAGTCCCTCACATTCGGAATATACACTCCACAAGAATGATATTTAATACCAGACAACTTATGGAGCTCAAAACTGCCTCTGTCAAATTTTATCAAGATCGGTTCAGATTTGGATATAGCTCTCATATATATTTTCAACGATTTCGGGATATAACTAAAGCTCTCTCCCACCGTTTTAATCTACTCTTCTCCAAAAAACTCTATAGGCTTTCTCTCACAAAAACATTAAAAATTTCACTTTCGAGTTAAAAATTCTGGTGTACAGAAAACACCCGATTTTCCATCATATTAAAGAATTGGTGTACAGAATTATTTTCAAACTTACCTCGACATCAGCAACTTGTTCGTATTTTGCCAAAACCATTTGTATAAAATCCCGATCTATCCATTCGGGAGCTGTCAATTCGTCTTCGTTGTATATACTCATTGCGGGCAATGTTAATAGCGCAGTTGTTGTCACACGAAGAGATTTTGTTATACTGAGCATAGACAAATGAAGATATAGACAACGAAAAGTTAGTTTTGTCTTTTTATCCAGATGGCGCTCATCATGTTTTGCATAGTCAACATGCTGATTTACGCGTTCAACCCACTCGACTTCGAAAACACATTTTATCGTTTTTCAAGAATTTTGCTTGATTATTCCGGAATTTTTTGATATCATCACGTACTTTTCCCATTTCTTTTATTATGGAACAATTTTCAACTGACAAATATCCTACAGTTTTTGTAATTTTTAATGTTTTAGAATTGAGTGACTTCAATATTCCCACTCAAACCCCTGAAACGATATGGACGACATCTGCTGATCCGATTTTTTTCGAAGATAAACGGTGAGAGCATTTCGTTGTCTATATTTTCATTTGTCTATGTACTGAGTCAGTCGGTTAAATTGAAATGAGAATAAATCAACATTGTATTCTACCATAGACAAATGAAAATATAGACAACGAAATGCTCTCACCGTTTATCTTCGAAAAAAATCGGATCAGCAGATGTCGTCCATATCGTTTCAGGGGTTTGAGTGGGAATATTGAAGTCACTCAATTCTAAAACATTAAAAATTACAAAAACTGTAGGATATTTGTCAGTTGAAAATTGTTCCATAATAAAAGAAATGGGAAAAGTACGTGATGATATCAAAAAATTCCGGAATAATCAAGCAAAATTCTTGAAAAACGATAAAATGTGTTTTCGAAGTCGAGTGGGTTGAACGCGTAAATCAGCATGTTGACTATGCAAAACATGATGAGCGCCATCTGGATAAAAAGACAAAACTAACTTTTCGTTGTCTATATCTTCATTTGTCTATGATTCTACTCTTCAACACAAAAAATGAGCAGGTCGTGTGTCAATTAATCAGCTGAGAGAATTTTGTACAGTACAATCTCAATAATTCGCTAGTGATTAATGATGACTTAGCGATTTTGAAAAATGAACGAGCGTTTTTGATTTACTGAAGTAAAAATAATAATAAAATAGTAATAGAAATTTTAGAAAATTAGGAATTACTGGTGTACAATTTATCCGGATTCTACTGTGGACACCGAAAAAATAAACAAATGTTTGGAAATTTAATGGGATTTATGTATGTGTGTATAAACAAACGAGGGAGAACCACAAACCTAACTATTGAGCACTCCTATGTTGATGTTTATTTGGAAACTCACAAAAAATGGGTTAAATATATGACTCTTTTATGAACCGTTCCTAATGAAAAATAAGACAACTCCGTATTTAAACATGATCTATATGGAAGGAACCCATTTTGTAAATACTTTAATGAATTTGGCCTCATAAACGGTAAAAAAAAATTATATAAAAAATTAAATTATTCTAGTGGGTTCCGACAACCCAGGGTGCAAACAAATTAAGGCAAACTCGATCCAAAAAAATTAATAAAAAAACATACCATTTTTTTTTAAACCTAACTTAGTACATTTTGTAAAGCACGCGGCATGTAAACAAAAAACTCTCTCGTATACCTCTAATGGTATCTCAAACAATGAAAGTTCATTGACTTTCACTACATTTAGAAAAGAAAACAAATCTGTGTAGATGGCCTGAATATTGCTCCAGACTTCTCAAAATTGAAAATATAACTTGGATATTCGAAGAAATACATTATGTCTAGAAAGAACCTACTTTAGAAGACGATTTATATCCATATGTAGATATTTATAGTTGAAAATTAGGGGCCGAAACCATCAAAATTTCAAAAATCTGCAGGTGCCAAATGTAAATATTGCAAATATTTTGCAAAGGGTTTAGCTATTCACTTAGGAGCTAAAATATTAAATGTTGGAAATTATTTTTGTTGGAAATTGGGAGAAAAACCTACGAAATACTGAGAATCAGAAAGTACGTAACTGGTAATTCTATTTTCATCAACAAAATGGTTGGTATTTAGAGCAAAATTGTTATTAATATGGATCCAGCAAAATTGTTATTAATATGGGTCCAGATTTTTCTATAGCCCAGATACCCCTTGATTTTAGTTATTGAGATTGTTTAGCCATATTTTCCTATAGATTTAGCTTAACATTACCTTGTTTTCCTCGGGCAACATTATACCCTAGAAATAGGCCCTTCCATGGCATGCTCCTCATAAAGGTCATGGATGGGTAAAAATCCCTTTTAAGCTTCTCTATTGATTGAAGACCTTATTATGGTCCTCTAAGAATAGGGATCCTTTATTAGGGGATCTTCTGTGAATAACAAATTTTTTAAAGATCATATATTAATAGACAAAATTGTTTAACGTCATCTTATGGCAGAAGAACCGATAAAGGTCCTACGTGATGGTCTTATATATACTAACTTTTTATAGTCCTCTAAGTATAGAGGTCCTTTAATCGTCTCTTGTCTTTTAGGTATCCTCTATGGAAAGAAAACTTTCTAAAGGTCCTCTAATGATAAAATAACCTTTAAAGGCCCCCCTGTGTATACAAGAATTTTTAAGGATCCTCTAGGGATAGAAAATTTTCTAAAGGTCCTCTAATGATAGAAGAATCTTTAAATGTCGCATTTATCAACAAAAATCCCTTTTGAGAGTGCACTCCAGAGGGCGACTTATTCCCGGAAAATTTCGGATGAAAAATCCTTTAAAGTTTTTAAAAAAAGGAGAGTTTAAATGTCCTATTAAAAATCATCTACAGATATGAGTCCATTAAAAGCGAACAAAAAATACCATTGGAAGCCTTGTAATGACTGGAAGGCCTTCTAAAGATTCTCTATTAAAAATAGACCTTTAAAAGTTCTTTAGAAATTACAGATGTTTTTAAAGTTCTCTTTATATTCCTCTTTATACGGAATCTTCTTTCAAAATATTTCTTTGAATAGTAGACCTTCTAGTGATCTTTTAAAAATTATAAAGTCTTTTAAAATTAAAAATCATTTTCGTCGTCTCATTAAATAAATTATAATAATTTAATTTATAAATAATAAATTATTATATATTTATATTTCCATTATCTAATTTCTAATAATTTATTTCTAAATTAAAACAAAACCTAATCAAGATAACCCTCCCTCAGCAAGATTGGCATAATTTTTCGGATTTCTTCGACAAAAGCAGGCGCTTCATACAACTGGCCCTTGGCATTGGGATCTTCTAATAATTTGGCCAGATTAATATCATTTTGTTCTTCAGCTGGGGTCAGGGCCAAAATGGCTATCATTGGCAAAAATGAGGCAATTAAAAATATAACTACAAATAGAAAAGAAAATAAATAAATTAATTATTTAAAAAAAATATTTAAATAGGGTACTTACCAAAATGCCGATATTTCAAATTGGCCATTTGGAAATCCGAATACAAGGGATACTCCCCCTTGTATTGGATTTTCTTTAATATCCTTAGGAACTCTTCAAAATAGTACAACATATACTCATTGCGATCCATGCGCATTTCCGAACTCATCATCATCACCTGCGAATACAGCATATCAATGTTGGCCGGAGCATAGCAGCTCCCCTGAAAATCGACCATTATCAAATCTTCCATTTTGTTCTTTTTGCTAAATTTGAACATCATATTTTTCAAATGAAAATCTCCATGAATTATGACAAAAATATCTCCCACACCCTGATTGAGTGCATAGGAGCGATAGAGATTTTTACATTTGCGACTTAGTTCACCTTTCATGGCGATGATTTTCTCATGATATATGGCGAGGTCTTGATGTTTCGAAAGCATTTCGGTGAAGTGATTAATGCCATCGTTGATCATTTGCTCAACCATGGGCATACTGCTGTTCAAGAAACCATCTTGATATTTGGTAACCATTTCCGATTCTTCACTGTGTCCCAGCATATAGGAGACGGCATGTAAACGGGCCACTTTACGAAAGACGGCCTTGATTTCTTCATCGGTCAAGAAGCGATTGCGTATGGTATTATAGCCCAGCTCACAAAGATCTTCAAAGACTATCACTTTGTGGGGGTCCAAGCTGTGGTATATGAGGCTGAAAGAAAATGAAAAGGGAAAACTGAGTTATCAAAAGAATGCTGCATACTTTTAGGAGGGAGTCGTAAGAAGCTTTACAATTGATTTCTTAAAAATATTTATTTAATTAAAAAAAAAACAGTAAGGATTAGTCAAAAGTCGGGCGGGGCCGACTATTTGGTACCCCATATTCAGTAGAACTCCCGTAACAAAAAAATTTATTTCAAGTACAGGACGAGATGAAAAAACTGCAACCAACTTCAGACTGCTGTCATTTTTAAGCCACTCGACCGACAGCTGTTAAAATAATTCCAGTTACAGTTCATTATACTGTTTACAAGCGTGCAAAAGCATTTTGGTGAGAATTTTCCAGAAAAAAAAAGTTATTCGTGATGGAATTCAAGCGTGATAGAGTGATTTCTTTATATTTGGCTGGAAAACCACAAGTGGCTATCGTTAGAGCACTCCAGCATTTAAATGTGAATAAATCATTTGTATCTCGAACCATGGCTTGTTACCGTGATACTGGTAGCGTAGCCCGACGTCAAGGAAGTGGACGGAAGAAAACAGCAACATCAGCAGAAATTGTTCGAAAAGTAAAGAGGCGAAAATGGTTCGAAAAGTAAAGAAACCCGCGTCGCAGTGGCCGAAAAATGGCTCGTGAGCTGAACATATCGCAATATTCCATTCGGCAAATATTGAAAAATGAGCTCGAGGTAAAACCATTGAAATTCCAAAAAGTGCAAGAACTTACACCGCAACAGAACAACAGAAAGAAAATAGACTCAAAAGAGCTAAAGTCTTGCTTCGCTTTGCCGAAAGTGGAGAACTGTCGAATTTGGTTTTCTCCGATGAGAAAAAATTCGTTGTCCCGCAGTTTGTAAACAAAGAAAATGATCGCGTTTACTTGCCAAAGAGGTCAGCTGAAAGTGTGCACCTTCGGTTGGCCACCATAACTCAAGCGCCAGCCATGGAGATGGTGTGGGCCGCCATAAAAGCCGACGGTCGCTCTCCGCTCGTATTAATCGACCGTGGCATCAGAATTAATGCCGAATATTATCCCGAGAATATTCTGAAGGGTATATTAAAGCCTTGGGCACGCAAACATGTTGGCCGCAGACCTTGGACATTCGAATGGGACTCATCACCATTGCACTCAGCATGCGCCACCCAAGAATGGTTACAAAATGAGGTTCTTCGCTTCATTTCTAGCGCACAATGGCCACCGAAACCCAAACAAATCTTAGTTGGACTATTGTGTCTGGAGTATTTTGAAAAGCAAGGTTGGCACTAAATAAAAATACAAAAGAGTTGATCACCTCAAGCAAGTGCTTGGCCGGGAATGGGCCAAAATACCGTAGAGCAACATTCGGGCAGAGTGTGATGGTTTCATTGGCCGTTTGAAGGCCATAATTAGTGCCAAAGGTGACCAATTCGAACAAATTCTAAACTTATTCTAAAATTTGATGCTATTTCCGACTTTGTTTGCTTTCACTCAATAAAATTAATGTTGCAGTTTTTTATCTCATCCGTCTCTTGATCTACTTACTCTGCACACAGCTTAGTTGGTTCGCCGCAATCGGCCAAGATTTTCTCAATTTTCGGTAACATTTCCGAATACATGGCAATTTCAGTCTCAAATAATCTCGATTCCATTAGCATTTCACGTTTCATACCCTCCTCCATGGGTAATGTTTTAATGATCAACGATCTCTTCACGGGGCTGGCATTTTGGGCAAAACGATAATTCACCCGGCAACGGAACATAATGCTGGCATAATGATCACCCTTGACACTGGCGGGACTCATGTCGAATTTGATTATCTAAATAAATATTTGTTTTATTGAATATGCAATCAGTTCGGAATTGTTCACCTCCCAACCTACCTCAACATTTTCATTATTTTCATATTTACTTAAAACTTTTTCTAAAAATTCTTTATTAATCCAGGCAGGTGCAACCAATTCATCGTCGTTATAAATACTCATGGTTATTCGTTTTTCGCTTTGTCACTCCGGGTCAGAAATTGAAACGTTAAAAGTTTAAAAATGAAATGAGAAATTCATTGTCGCGTGTCCGCTTTTTATGCGAAAATCATTTTTGTTATCAGCCAATAGTTGTATCCATATAAGTACCTGTTCTCATGTCGTCAATACCTTTGGTAGGTTGGCCACTGATAATCAATTTTTGGCTACATTAGCTTTTTTTGCTATTTTCAATACGATAAGATTATTAGGTAACTCCGATCTATTATTTTTGACAAAACGCTATCAATGTTAGTGCTTAGACACTTCGTAGAAGTATAAAGTCATGATTACGGCGTAATTCTTGGCATCGGACCGAAACAGATTTTTTTTTGAATTATTTAATTGTACAATGGTATTGGTAAGTACCTCGAAGTTTAATGACGAAACAAAACAATTTGTGGGAGTAATGCCTGAGAATGCTGGAAACTTAAGTACTACAATTTACGTTTATTGAAATAAAATGAAATGTGGATCCTATATCTTTGATCCACAAGTGTGGACTCCATTTTCTCAAAACTCTTCCTGTTTGAGATAAAAAAAACTGCAACAAAGTCAAACGCCATAATTTTTACATTTTTTTTTTTTAATTTTATTCAATGAGAGCAAAAAATGTCGGAAATAGCATCGAATTTTAGAATTAGTTTAGATTTGTTCGAGTTGGTCAACTTTGGCACGAATTATGGCCAATGAAACCGTCACACGCTGCCCGAATGCTGCTTTGCGGTATTTTGGCCCATTCCCGGCGAAGCGCTTGCTTGAGGTGATCGACACTATTTTTTAGTGCCAACCTTGCTTTCCAAAATACTCCAGACACAATAGTCCAACGGATTGGTATCCGGAGATTTTGTTGGCCATTGTGCGTTGGAAATGAAGCGAGGAACCTAATTTCGTAACCATTTTTATGTGGAGCGCGCTGAGTGCGATGGTGCTGAGTCCTGTTGGAATGTCCAAGGTCTGCGGCCAAAATGTTTGCGTGCCCAAGGCTTTAATACACCCTTCAGAATATTTTCGCGACAATATTCGACATTTATTCTGATGCCACGGTCGATTAGTACGAGTGGAGAGCGACCATCGGCTGTTATGGCGGCCCACACCATCACCATGACCGGCGCTTGGAAGGTGCACCATGGAAGGTGCACATTTTCAGTTGGCCTCTTTCCAAATAAACACGATCATTTTGTTTGTTTGCAAACTGCTGGACAACAAATGTTCTCTCATCGGAGAAAACCAAATTCGGCAGTTCACTACTTTGTTTCTATTGTGCTGTTGCGGTATAAGTTCTTGCACTTTTTGGAATTTCAATGGCTTTACCCCGATCTCATTTTTCAATATATGCCGAATGGAATATTGCGATATGTTCAGCTCACGAGCCATTTTTCGGGTTTCGATCAAGTCGCTTCTTTACTTTTCGAACCATTTCGGCTGATGTTACTGTTTTCTTCCGTCCAGTTCCTTGACGTCGGGCTACGCTACCAATTTTCGATGATACGACACACAAAAGATATATTCACATTTAAATGCTG